GCCCCCCGCGTCTGAACGCAGAGCCAAAGAGAACGGCCCCCGATTTGAGTGCAAAAAATAAATATAAAATTTATTAAAACACCCACAATATTTTAAAGATATCAGGAATAATACATTTTGCAGCCGGGTGGGCCGCGTGTAACTTAGAATAAAATACAAATTAAAAAAAAAATCATGGGGGAAGAAAAAAGGGGGGGGAGGGGAGAGGGGAGGGTCCATACTTGCGATTTTTAGGCATCCTAAAAAATAAATTTACCAAAACACTGAAGGGAGGGGGTGGGGGGGAGGAAAAGGGTTTGAAGAAACGAGAAACACACAAAAGAGGAGAAAGAAAAGGGAAAATTATACAAAATAAAATTATCGGCATAAATTTACTGTCCTAGGAGTTATCTACAGTTTAATACACATTAATCCTATTGCCTTGAGACATGGGAAAAATCTACCGCTCCTCGATCCGCCCCGGAAAACAACAAAAAAAAAAAAACCAAAAAACAAAAAAACAAAAACAAAACAAACTTCATTTCAAGTAACCACAGCCCCGAGCCGGCCAAGGAATCTTCAAGTGTGTCCCTGGGGGGACCCCCTGCCGCCTCCACTCCTCCGAACCCCACCAAACGCCACAGCAACGCAACCCCAAACCCTCCTGCCATCGAATCCCGAGCGCTGAACCCCACAGAAATGGCGCTTTTTATTTCATTTGTTGTTGGGTTTTGTTTCGTTTTTCTTGTTTGTTTTGTTCACTCGTTTCCTTTTCCTTCCTATTCTCTGCGCCGCGGTGCAAAACCCCACCGGCGAAACGCTCCCAGAATAAAACAAGGCTGAAACTACGGCAGTTTGTAATCCCTGAAGGATGCGAAAATGAGGAAAAGCCCGGGCGGAAAGGATCAATGAAAGGAAAAAAAAATAAAAATAGGAACTAACACCGCTGCGAAAGGATCCCTGATTTCGGAAAGATTCGCCCCGGTTTCACTGCCTTCGCTGCCGCGGCGCTGCGGGGTGTGGGGTTGAGGTATTTGCCTGGTTTGGGGCACGGGGGGCTGCTGCCCCCTCAGCTCACGGGAACCCAAAGGGAAAAAGTAGCACCAATGAAACCCAAAAAAAATGGAAAGGAGAGCGGGGAGGTGGAAAGGGAATGAAGAGATGGGAGAAGTGTGAAGCCCAGCTATCCCCTGCCACAGCTCCCCGCAGCCAAAACCCACTGTTCCAGGGAGGGAAAGGAGCTCCGGGGCCAGGAGGTGCCAGCACCGTGTTTGGGTGCGCCAGATCCAAGCGCCACGGCTGTGCTCGGGGGGTGAGCATCAGGTCCTTGTGTAGTGCCAAGCACCCCAGGACCAAGCACCGGTGGGAGAGCGCTGTGCCCCTGCACCACATCCACACCCCACGTCTGAGCACCACGTTCAAGCACAGTGTTGGTGAACGGTGGGCGAGCACCACGCCTGAGCAACTGTTCCTGAGCACCACGTCCACACACCGCGCCCAAGCACTGTGTCCATGGACCCTGTTCAAAGCACCGTGACTGCGGGCAACGTCTGAGCACCGCGCTCGGTGCCTGAGCACCATCCGAGCGAGCACCGTGCCCGTGTGCAGTGCACGCACACCAGCTCTGAGCACCACAGCTGAGCACCACGTTCCCCTCCCTGGCTGAGCACCGCATCCAAGCACCACGTTCACACACGGTGTGGCCGAGCACCACATCCATAGCACCGCTGAGCGCCGAGCATCGTGAGCGAGTACCGCGCTCACACCCCTGGCTGAGCACCGAGTCCGTGCACCGCCGCTGGGCACCAACACACAACCAAGCACCGTGTTCACACACCTGGCTGAGCACCACAGCCAAGCACCGAGGCCACGCGCAGTGGCCGAGCACCGCGACCGAGCACCACAAGCAAGCACCGTGTCCGCAGCGCGGGGCCGAGCACCGTGCCCAAGCACCATGGCCACACGCTGGGGCTGAGGACCACATCTGAGCACCGTGTCTGCCCACCCTTGGTTCCTGGAAGGGAACGAAGCTGCCGCAAAGCAAAGGTGCCCCCAACGCTTCAGCGTGGCACCGGTTTCTGTTTGCATAAGAACAAGATGCTCCCGGCACGCTTTGAGCTGTCTCTCCGGAAAAGTAAACTTCCTTCTCAACGACATCATTGCTTTTTTTTTGATTTTTTTTCTTGGTTCTCTAGTTTCGTATATACATTAGTAGCACCTCGGCAAGATGGAATCAGGCAGAAGCATGATACAGTTTGTTAAAACACCATAGCACCATTTTGATTAGAAGATTTCATTTAATAAAAATATGCCTTAAAGAGCCCACAAAGCATATTCCAGTACTAAAATGAAAAGTTAACAATTGAGGCACCTCAGGGATTCTGGTTTCCTTCTCCTTCCTGAGCCTCGTCCCAAGAGTGCCAAGAGGGGGAGCGGCCCCCGGCCAGCACCGAGGTACCCACCATGGCTGGGAACACTGCAGTGAGTGCGGAGATCTCCCCCCGGCTCCCATCGTGGGTGTTGTTCTAGCACCAGTGTGGCTGCGACCTGCTGCAAAGTGTCTTCCCCCCACCCTCCCCCTCCCTCCCCTCCCCGGCCCCGATGCAATTAAAAACACCGCCCCCAGCACACCCCACTGCCCACCCCGCACCAGGACGTCCCCGCAGTGCTTCCACCCCATGGCTTCAGCGCAGGTGGGACAAGCGCGGGTGCTGGTAAAGATAAAGAAAAAGATTTTGCTTAAAACAGACTCTCAGCAGCAAGGGGTTAAAGAGCTGTGCATAGTTTTCTAGTTTTCATATAAGAAGTCTGAAGCATGCTAATTTTCAATGACTGAGATTTGAGGTAGGTTATACGTAATGTAGTGTAAAAACGTGAGACTGCAGCAGTTCTCGCCCTGACCCACACGCCGCTGCCCCCCCCCCGGACCAGTTTGAGCCTCCCTTCAAGGCAGGGGGGGACGCCGCACTGGAGCAAGCCCCCAAACCAGACACCTCCAAGGAAGCAGGACTTAGACAGGTTGCACGGACCGAAACATTCTCCAAACGCGCCCCTTTCTCCCAAATTTCTTGCTAACATCATCTACGCAAAGCTTTCAAGGCACCCCTGCGACAACCTACAGCATGGAAGTCAGACAAGACCTGGGCGAAGCAAACCAAGGCCGGCACCCGAATCCGACCTCTTTCATTCTTAGACCTCCAAACAGCACTGCCGCTGCACCACGGCTGAGCCCCATGGCCAAGACCCATGGCCAAATGCTACAGCCAAGGCCTATAGCCAAGCTCCATGGCCAAGCCCTATGGCCAAGCTCCACGGTCAAGACTCACAGCTAAAACCACGACCAAGCCCCACGGCCAAGCTCCATGGTCAAGATCCATGTCCAAGCTCCACGGTCAAGACTTACAGCCAAGACCAATGGCCAAATGCTATGGCCAAGACCCATGATCAAGTCCCATGGCTGAACTCCATGATCAAAACCACGGCCATGACCTATGGCCAAGACCAACAGCTGAACCCCATGGCCAATACCCAAAGCCAAGCCCTGCGGCACGCAGCCCCAGGACACCCGCAGGCCAACCTAAGGACTGACTTGCCATGAACTCTACAATCCTGATATGCTATTGGGTACTTATAAGAAAAGCGATAATAGCTCATTGAATTTCCTTGTCAAATATACGCGACTTTACAGATTACAGTTAAAAAAAAAACAAATTATGAAGGACGGACAAAGCATGTTAAATATTCTGCCAGTATTTACAGTTCTCCCACCATAATTGTGTCTAAAACATACTGCTTTCAAGTTGTCGGGAGGGGGAAGAGGGAGTTTGCTTTTTTTTTTTTTTTTTGCCTTTTTTTTTTTTTTTTTTTTTAAGTTTCGCTTTCATTTTTAAATCTAGGTGAAAGTGCTTTTTTAAAAAATTCTTTCCCTATGTACAGGTTTTAAAATCAGACTGACTACACAAAGGTTCAGGCTGTTTTACCGAGATCCTGCTGAGCTGTGCCAGTGCGTGGGGTTGCAGTAAACACAGACGGTGACTTCAGCACGGTGACAGCGCCGGCTCTCGCTCGCGTGTTCCCCAAAAGGCACCTGGAAGTGCAAAGCGACGGCGCAGCCCCGTCCCGCACCCAGCGCCCAGCATGGCTCGAGGGTGGCAGCCTCAGCTGAGGTTGTTGGGAAAGCACCACGCAGTGTTGTTGGATGGTTGGTGGGTTGGTAAGTTGGTTGGTTGGTGGGTTGGTTGGTTTTTTTTTTACTGTGGGAAGAACAGCAACCTGTAGGAAGGTGAGATGATGGCACCTGGGGAGAGAAAAACGCGGAGCGCATCGCCGCGCCGACTCACCCATCGGACTGAGAGTGTGGGGAGACGAGTCCCAGAGTCTGGGTTTGCTCCTCCCAGAGCCGCTCGTACGGCCAAAGTCCCCCAGAGACTGAAAGCACCAGACTTCAGCAACAGTGATGTACAGAGAGCAACGCTAGCTATTCACAGTTTTGTGTTGGTTTTGTGGGTTTGTGTTTTTTCTTTTTCCTATTTATGTGTTTGATTCCTGTTGGGTTTCTCGGAGACGCAGCCGAGCTGCTCCTATTCTTAGGGCAACGGAGCCCCAAACGAACGCAGAGCCCCGGACCCAAGCATGGAGCTCTGGGAGCAGCACCCTCCACACGATGCCCTGAGGTCTCCACCCATGGGGATGGACTCCTCCAGTTGTAAAACAGCCATTGTAGGTCCTTGGGAACCAACAATTAAAAAATTGGATGTTCGGTGCATCCGGCTGACGTTAGAGCACTCGTTTCCAGGTGGCTCTGTGAGGCCGTCCCTGATCCCCGCTGCCTGCACGGCACTGGGAAGGTCCACCTCTGCCTTTATACGCTGGTTTGGTGTTCGGGTTGTTTCTCATTTTTTTCTTTTTTTTTTTTTTTAATTTATCCATGTATTTTTTTCCTCGATGTTCGCTTCGTTTTTTGAAGGTCGGCTTCGTCATTCTCGTCAGATTAAAAAATAATAATAATAATCCAATAAATACGCGGTTTTAAGTGGAATTAAAAACCTCTCCTTTGCGAAAGGACGCTATAAACTTCTCTCTCCATTCTTGCAGTGCACAAGGATAGATTAAAAAAACACAGAGATATAAATATTAGGTTACCGAAAAACGTCAAAGAGCATTGTTCCTTTCCTATTTTCCTACTCTTTGCCAAGTGCGGCTTGCACCCGCGTCGATTCCGTTGTTTCCAAGCGTTGGGTTTATTTTGCTTTTTTTTTTTTCCTGCTTTTTTTTTTTTTTTTTCCTTTTTTTTTTTTTTTCTTCTCCCCCATGCCCGAGGAGAAAGCACCACGAAGCAGCACCGGGACTCCAGTGCTGCCGACTTTGAGGTAAGAAGGGCTGCGGCGGCCGCCTCCGCCTCAGACCCAGCGGCTGTAGGGCCCCGTCACCTTGGTGTACGCGTAGGAGGACACAGTGATGGCAGAGTTGGTGGGGATGGCCACCGCCTGCCGCGTGGGGACCGCGTTCCTCCGCTCCTTGGTAGCCGCCTCGGCCGCCAGCGCGCCGCCCCATTTGCGCTTCTTGGCGAAGGCCTTGGCGTCCTGCTGCAGCCCCAGGCGCGCCGCCTCCTCCTGCCGAGCACGGGCGCGCTCCGCCAGCTGCTTCATCTTGGCCTCCCACAGCGCCAGGCCGTGGTTGGGCTGGTTCAAGTTCTTGTGTTGGTAGAAGACCAGGGAGATGCGGGTGGGGTGGCAGCGGTTGGGTTTCTTCAGCGGGGTGGTGGCGTGCAGCTCGCGGCGGGCGCACTCGATGAGGATGGAGCCGTGCGCGGGCGCCACGGCCACGCCGCCAATGTTCTCGTCCAGGAAGTTGTGCTCGCTGTCCGACCACTCCTCCTCCTCCTCTTCTTCCTCCTCCTCCTCCTCCTCCTTCACCGCCTTCACTGATGCCTCCTCGACGCCCTCCTCCAGCCCAAAGGGATCCCACGGCTTCTCCTGACGGACCCCTGCCGCCCCCTTCTCACGCACCGCTGCCTCCCACGGCTTTTCAGGCAGCCCCGCCACGGGTGCCGGTGTCCTCCGCCCCTCCGCCTTGCCAGAACCCCACGGCTCTTCGGAGAACACAGGCAGCTCCGGCAGGGCCGAGCCGAAGCCCAGCGGTCCCAACTCCCAGCCCTTGTCCCGCAGGGTCGGGGTACCCGCACCGCCCAGCACCGTCTCCCCCAGCTTGCAGGGGCTCCACGGCTTTGGCAGCAAGCTGGAACTGCATGACGACGACGCTTCTTCTGCCAGGACATTGGGCCACTGCTTCTCTGGCAGAGGCAGGCGCACGGCAGCGTCGAAGGCGCTCAGCTTCTCCCGTCCTCCAGCTCCTGGCACCAGGCTGCTCCACGAGCTCTCAGCCGCACTAGTCCGCTCAGGTGAAGACGAACCTCGGGATGATGCTTTGTAAGGACTCCACTGCTGCTCCGGTACGGGGACAGCGGGTAGAGCCAGACCGGTGCCGGGCATGGCAGCTGCAGGATTGTTTAGGGGCTCGATGCTGGGCGGGGGGTCTGGGGGCTCCTGCTTGATGGCCCTGCTGCCGAAACAGTTCTGTGCAAACGGTGATGCCTCCTCCGAGCCTGTGCTAGTCCTGTGCACCCCGGCCGCAGCCGCCTTCTGCTGGCTGGCATAGCGGCTGGCCCGCTCGTAGGTGCGCTGGTGATGGTTTTTGCTCCGGACGCTGTGTGGGATGGGCTCGGGGAAATCCGTGTTCCTGTAGGTATGGTTGAGGTTCTCCTGCAGCACCTGAATGTTGGGCTTCTTCTCGTAGCTGTTGCTCACCCAGCTCTCACCCCTCTCGGGCACCCCATAATTCAGAAACTGCGAGGGGAACATGTGGTTGTTGGAAAAACCGTAATACCCAAAGGAGGGCAGCGTGAACTTGGAATGAAACCCGTTCACGGAAGGCAGATTGGGCTGTGCATAGTAGGAATGGTAAGAGTAAACACTGTTCATGCTGTAAGGGTCGGAGGGCCGGCAGCTGCCCAGCACCGAGTAGCTCTCCACCACCGCATTGCCGTTGTACTTGAAGGCGTTGTAATGGCTCTGCGGCTCCACTTTGATGGAAGGTTTCAGCGGCTGTGGGGAGAGCCCACTTTTCAACGCCATACCTGTGGGCACAGCACACACAGCCACCATGACCAGCTGGCCAAGGAGACACCAGCAGGAACTGAGGACCCCCTGCCTAGAAAACCCAGACAGCCTCAAAAATTCAACAGCAACAGAATCGCTGGCCGAGTCAGCCTGGCTGTGACTGGCATCACCCCATGCGCTGGCAGCAATTTGCACCCATTTGCTGAGATGCAGCAAAAGCACGGACGCCACAAAAACCACAGTGCAAAGCCAGACCCCACAGCATAAGCTGGTAATGCCAACTTGCACACAGCACTGCTGGTGCACCCTGTGGCCCAAGAAAGCCCCCATCCATTACACCTCCCAAAGCCACAAGGGAACATCCTCATCCCCTCACTGCTTTCTGGACAGCTTGGGGCCATGCAACCTCAGCTCTGTCCCCATTACCTGCATTTTGTTGGAGTGTAGGAAGTTCGAGCGCTTCCTGCTTGATCTTCTCTGGTGTCATCAGCTTCTCCTTCTGCAGTTTCTTCTTCTCCGCTGCAGCTTTCTTTGCCTCCAGCTGTCTCTGCCGACAGGACTTGGCGGGCTCGGGCAGCTTACGCACCTCACGGGGGAAAGATGTGAGCACCTGGATGGCCCCGCTGCCCACCTTCGCGTTTTGGTTCTCCTCGCTGCCAAACTCATCCGTGCTGGACATCTTGTAGAGGGGGAGGACGTGCAGCTGCTCATCTTCGGGGATCTTCCCCACCACGCGATTGTCTTCCTTTGTCAGCGTGCAGACCTGGGGGAGCGCAGGAGGCCATGAGGGGACAGGGCTGCCAAGCTCTAGAGATGATGACAACTGCAGCCCAAGGGAGATAGTGGTGACAGCCCTGACTCAACACCAATCCACACCCCAGGCTTGCACTGGTGTGCATTCACCAGCCCACTCTGCTCCCCTGCTGCTGTCTGGAAACTTCCTATGGGGTTTGGGTCAGACAACAGCAAATGAGCAGTTCCCATTGGTGCTTTGCTTACATCTGGTGGGGACAGCTTCAGCCTTGCAGACACAACGCTTTCATTTGAAGGACTGAAGCATCAAAAAACAAATTGCTCCATGAGTGCAAGCACCAAGGATCAGCCACCAATCTGGGGTGACAGTGGCTCAGACATCTCTGCTTCAAAATGCTCCCTACAGGATCAGCTGGACACCACGCAGCTCAAAAAGGCACCAGCAGCCAAAGGGAAACCATCCTGAAAAGCCTCACCAGTGCCTACTTACCACTGTGCAGCCATTGTAGAGGTTATGCTGATCTTTGTGAGCATGAGCACAGAAGTCCATGCACGCTGTCACCCCTGAAAACGGCCTCCCCTCCTTCAAGCCCAGCCGGCAGTCTATTGCGATATCCTCGTTGGTAACCTAGCAGAACAAGAAGGCTCCAGTTACCTGAAATCTGCATGCTGCCACCTGGCTCCCATCCTGCTGGCCGCCAGGCTGCAGAGCCCAGGAGAAGGTGGGTGGTTGGGTACCTGATTCTGGTAGGCCTGTGGTGCCAGCCTCTTGTAAAGCGGAGCAACCTCAGTGGCCAAGTCCTGAAAGCTTTTCCGGAGCAGTTCTTCCTGCAATAGAGAAAACTGGGCGTTCGTACACAAGAGGACATCACCCAAGGGTTTTGGCAGCAGGGATGCAATCAGGGATGCAGCCCTTGCACATCACACTGCATCCAACTTTCCCCACTACGTCTGCCATCACACAAAGCGCACAGCCTCAGTTTCTGGTGACATCTGGGCTACTCAACCCCCAGCCTCAGTCTGTTGTGCTTCTAATTGCACAACACAAGAGTTCTCCTGCATCTCCCTGAGGTTTTTAGGGAGGCCCCATTTGTCACACCTGGCAGCAATGCCCTGAGACATCAGTGAGAGCCTTACCAGGTCAGGCCGTCGTTTTTTCTCCCCAGCTCACCAAAACCACTATAAGGGACCCTATTTTCAGACTTTCTCCTCCCAAAACTTGGAGCCAGGGCTAAAAGGAAACCACCCCCCTCTTCCCAGTACTACCGTGCCACTCACCTCCTTAGGATTGTCCCCCACCAGCCTGAACTTCCGTGGAGTTTTGCTTCGGGCATACTTGCAGCCATTAAAATACATGCTCCAAGAGCAGCCGAAGGAGAAGGAAGCGCCGCAGGTGTTGGGGTCCTTGCCTTGGCACGCACAAGTCCGGCTGCAGGAGGGACAGCGAGGAGGAGCATCAGACACCAATGCAGTGACAGCATCCCCCTCCCTAAGGGTTGGAGGGCTGACAGCTGCCCCTCTGAGTGAGAAACATGGGAGAACACCTGTGTCCCCTTCTGACCCACTTCCCCAAGCCGGTGTGGTGACCCACTGACACTTACTCGTCATTCAAGCCGCAGCGGCGGCTGGTGGGGTTGCCGTACTTGGTGAGGGTGTCAGTGAGCTCCTGGTACAGCGTGTCGCCCAGCGTGCGGGGGATGCCCTCCCAGGCCAGGATCAGGATGATGATGACAGCGTTCTGGCAGTGGTGGCCAGCTCGGTGACGCACCAGGCATAGCAGCTTCTCCTCTTGGTTGTGTCTCCGGATCACCTGTCAAACAGCCGGGCCCAGTTGGCACACAGGTCGCCACCAGTGGGTGCTGGCTGCCTCTGCACCATCCCACAGGAACACGGAGAAGAGAGCCGCAGGAACAACCCTGGGTATGTCCTTCCCTGTGGGCTTTGGGGTGCCAGAGTGACCCCAAGGCCCACAGCAGTCGATGGACGACACTGGGTGAGCACTGTGGGTGCTGAGTTGATGGTTGGATCAGAGGGTCTTAGTAGTCCTTCCCCACCCTATTGATTTTATAATTCTATGATTCTATGAGAGTGAGAAGCCCTGCAGAGGTTCCCAGAAGTGGCCGCCACTTTTGCTTTGCCCTTCACTGCTACACCTTGAGCATCCTATCCTGGTCTCCATGACTACCAATGGTGAGGACCTCCCTGTCCCCAAGCAGAGAGGGGACAGACAGCAGCATTATGCTGAGTATGGCAGGGGTGGGACAGAAGCCCTGAGCTTGGGGCTGTTTCATTCCCCCTAACCCATGTTTGATTGAATGGCACTGATGGAGAGCGATGTACAGCCCTGGGGAATTCTGGGGCCACTGCTGCACTGCTGGTGCCACAAAGGGTCTGGGGGCTGCAGGCACTCACTCACCCACTTGGCGATGGGGCAGCCCCGGGAGCTCTTCCCCTCCTTCCCAGTGTAGATGACCTTCTCAATGCGGATGGCTTTGCCCTTCTCGCCGTACCTGTGGGCAGCCCCACATCAGTCACAAGTGTCCTGCTGAGGTCTCACCCCACACACCTCCCCCTCTGCCCTCTGAAGACCCCCCCTCTCCGACAGCCCATAGCCTGGCTCGATGTCGGGGTCCTGCAAGGGGTTGGGGTGGGGGTCCCTTACCGCTCCTCCATCAGCTCCCGGATGGATGCCACGGTGGGCCCCGAGCCCAGGTGGGTGTAGTACGGCCCCTCGTCCTTCTCCACGATTTGCTCTGTAGGAAAAGGCCAGGGGAGGGGGGGATGACAGAGATGTTGGGGTGTCCTCTGGGAACCACATCCCCCAAATGTCAAATTCCCTCAAATGAAGCACTTTTGCATGAAATATCAGGCATTTCCTCACTGACAAAGCACAAGCCTCGATCCTGACTGCACTATTTTGGTCCTGAGTGTTTTAGGGCTGAGAGAGTTTTGCTCTGGGTTTACAGCTCCTGACAACACTGGGGAAAACTGGGAGATCTGTGGGAACAGAAAGGTCATAGGGGCAGTGCAGGGGTAGGACCCACAGAGCAGGGTCAGACATGGTTCAGCCCCATCCGATGCTCCCAGCACTGATTTTCATTCTCATCATGTTCAGCAGCTCCGCTGCAGCTGCCCAGGCAGGGATCAGTGCAGGATGCACAGCGACGGCCGACTGCATCGCAGTATCCAACAGCGTGGGCACCTCATGGAGCACTGAGCCCCGCCTCCCACTTAATTGTTTTCTCTTATGGCTTTTTCTTGAGAAAACAGAGCCCATGGGAGAAGGGCACGGTGGAAGTAGCCGGGCTGCAAACACCGTGCTGCAAAGTGTAACAAATGCCAGCACAAAAACACGTGGATAAAGCGCTCACTTGCCACTGACCACCTGGCCATGAAAGCAAGAGAGAAGAAAGTCCAAACCTGCCCTGCAGCCAACGCAGCTGCACGGTTTGGCCGTAAAGACAAGTCCCACCAAAGCTGCGGAGCAGCCTCAGTGCCCCCCAGGTGTTGCCGGGGTGACTTTCCCACTCCCACCGAAGGACCTCCCAGCAGCACGGCACAGCCCCAGCCCCACACATCACCCCCACACCCCGTGCCCCCACTTACCCACACAGTCGCAGGTGGGGAACTCGGCCTGCGCGCGCTTGGCGGGGGTGTCCAGCAGGCTCTTGGTCGGCGTGTCCAGGTATTTGAGAGGCGACTCCAGGAACCCGCTGAGGGTGGGGGTCAGCGGCACCTCATCCTTGGTGGGCGTCCCCTCCGCCTCGTCGGCGTTCTGGCTCTCCTCGGAGTAAAAGCACGTGGTGGACACCACGGTGATAGCACCAGAGGACTCAATTTTGATCTGCTTGGGGGAGCGCACGGAGAAGAGATGCTCTGGAGGAGGTCCCTTCCCCGGTGACAGCACGGAGCCCCCAGGGGCGGCACTGCTGGGGGTCACGGCGGCGGTGCTGGCGGCAGTGGGGGGCACCTGCGGGGCTGGCGGCTGCCCCTCTGGCAGCGCGGTGGTCCCGGTGGGCGGCAGGCTGAAGGTGTCCCCGAATTCGGCCTCGAACTGCCGGATAAGCTCCTCCAGCTTGTCATCCACCACGGCGGGCGGCGCTCCCTCTGGGCCCGGCGCCAGTGGGTGGCTGTGGGTGTCCCCCCCAGGGGTACCCCTTTCCTGAGAGTCGGGAGCGGTGGGCGGGCGCGGGGTGGGCGGCGGGGGCTCGGGCTGCGGCGCTGCAGCGGGGGGCTCGGCGGGGGTCCGCAGCCCGTCCAGGCTGATCTGCCAGAAGGGCAGGAAGAGCGGCTGTGAATCCTTCTGCTTGGGCTTCTTGATCTGCACCTGCTTGCGGGCTGGCTTGTCTGGCTGAATCCTTTTCTTCTTCTCCTTGGCCTGCTTCTCAAAGGTCTTGGGCGTGCTGGGGGTCCACCAGCCAGGCGGGCGCTCCGGGGGGGTCGCGGAGAGGCTCTGCTCGAGGAAAAGGCTGCGCTTGTGGTGCAGGTGCTGCTGCAGGACCAGCTGCGTCTTCCTGTGCAGGTCAGGCTCCTGCAGCACACGGGGGCTGCTCGCCGTCTCCTTGCCCGGCGTCCGATCCGGGGGCTTCGGGGCTGCTGCAGGGGGGGCTCTGCCGGCCTCGGGCCGCTTGAAGGCCACAGCGATGTATTCGGTGCTGCCCAGGAGCTGCTCCAGCTCCGCCATGGGGTCGGTGGTCCCGGACGGAGGCACCACGTTGATGGATGGCTCCGGGGGGGCAGGGGGCACCGGGGGGGGCGGCGGCGGCGGTGGCGGAGGGGGGGGCGGCCCATCAGCACCAGGTTGAGGGAGCGTGGCCGAGAGCTGCGTCAGTGCCTCGATGGCGATGGCTGTCTGCAGGCTGATGTTCTTCTCCTTGGCAATGTTCAGTGCACTTTGGGAAAAGGGGAGGCCGTCCGATGGGCACGGCTCGGCAGCCTCCAGCACCGCAGGGGGAGCGATAGCACCTTTGTCGGGGGGCGGCGGGGCGTGGGGCAGCGGGGCCTCTCCCAGGGCCACCTGGATCTTCTGCTCCAGCCACTCCAGGTAGTCGGGGCACTCAGGGCCGTCGCAGTTGCAGTTGGGGGGCTTCATGCCATGCTTGGCCAGGGCGAGGGCGGCCTTGAGGGCGTGCAGGTCCTCCCCCCTTGGCACGCCGTCCCGCGGCGCCAGCCCTCCCCGGCTCATCTCGGTGTCAAACTTCTTGTAGAGCAGCGAGGGCGAAGCCGGGGCGGGCAGCCGGTAGGAAGACACCGCTTCGGCCACTGCCGAGAAGGCCACCAGGTTGCGGGCGTCCTCCAGGCGTGCAGGGCCGGCGGGGGGGCCGGGCAGCCACCCGCTGGGCTCCATCAGCGTGCTGCCCCCCGCCTGCGGCCGGCCCCCAGCGGCCAGGCCCAGCCGGCCGCCCTCGCTCAGCGTCCTCTCGCCGCCATAGTCGATCAGCCCTTCTTCCATTGGGCCTCTTCTGGGGCCATCAACCGGATCGCCCCCCGGACCTGTCTGAGAGCAGGGAGAGAGGAGGGGTGTGAGTAAGCGCTGCAAAATCCTGTGCCTCGTATCCCACCCCACAGCCTACCACCCCCCCATCCATCCCAGCACAGCTGCAGGTGCTGCTGCGCCCCTCTCATCCCCGCATCCCAAAGGCCCACAAGGAGCTGTGCTCTCTGGGACTGAAGCTCAGCACCGCAGCCATGGGGCACTGAGCAAGGAGTGGGGCAGAAAGGAGAGGGTCCAGAGCCCATCGCCCCAGTGGGGGCATGACATGGGGGGGAAGGGGAGGTGGCATCTCTGTGCCCATGGGTGGAGGTCTCAGTGCCACGAGGGATGGGATGCGGATTATTTTGCGGTTTGTCACAAATAGGAGAGCCCTGTGCAGGGCTGGGGGATGCCTTCACCCCTTTCTGGGGCTGCATAAAAGTAGGGAGAGATGGAGCAACAGGCAGAGCAAAACCCCCGTGGAAGCAGAGAGAAGCATCTCGAGTCCTCCTTGCCCCAAACATTCCCCCGGGGGGAAAAGTAGGGGTGAACCCCACTGGCAGCGCAGAGCAGCGGCCCCATCCACCCTTCCCACGGCCCCTCCGCATCGGGGAGGGAAGGGATCCCCCCCTACCAGCCCCCCCCCGCAGGAACTCCCGCACGCGTGGCCCGGTCCCGGTTGGAGGCTTCCCCACGAGGGCCGTCCCTGCGGTTCATCCGACCGAGAGGGGGGGGAAACACGCGGGGCTGCACGCGGCCTCCCGCACCGCTCCTTTTGTTCCCGGCACCGCCGTGGGGGGGAGGGGGGGGTTGGAAGAGGGAGGGCCGCGGGATTCCATCCCGAAACCAACAGCGATTCTCCCCCCAACGCCGCCGCGAGGAACCCACCCGTGCGCACCCACCGCCCCGGGGGGGGAGTTGGGGGGGAACCGGAACGCCGCGGTGCGGAGCGGCCCCGTCCGCGTGTCGTGAAAAGAAGGGGAAATCCCTCCGAGGAACTAAAAATCATCTCCGCTTCATTTATTTATTATTATTCCCCCCCTCCCCCCCCGCTCCCCTTTCTGTTTCCAACGCTTTGGGCGGAAGGAAAACAAAAAAGGCCGCGGCACGCACCGACCCCGCCGGGTACCCCCGGCCCGCGCCGCGCTCCTCCGCAGCCACCGGGACCGGCGCGGCCGCGGCGCGGCACTTACGCTGCGGGGGAGCGGCGGCGGCGGCGCGGAGGGACGAGGCGCCCGCGGAGGGACGGAGGCGCCCGCGCTGCTCCGCGCCGCACCGCGCCCGGCCGCGGCTCCCCGCCCCCCGCGGCAGCTGCAGGAGCCATCAGCCCCGGCGCCGCGCGCACGTACGGGCGGGGAAGGAGGGGGTGGGGGTGGTAGGGGGGGGGGGGGGGGGGGGGGGGGGGGGGGGAACGTGAGCTCGGCCCCGCAGCCCCCGGACCGCCCGGACGGCTCTGGAGAGCCGGCACGTGTCACGCGTACAGCCCGCAGCCTCACTGCTCCGCGGCTCGATGCATCCAGTACATCCCCCAGCCCCATACATCCACAGTCCGTGCATCCCATAACCCGTACATCACATAACCCCTGCATCCCATAACCCGTACATCCCCCAGCCCCGTGCATCCCATAACCCTGCACGCATCCCATAACCCACACATCTCACAGCCTCATACATTCCACAACCCTATGCATTCCATAACCCACACGTCCCGCAGCCCCGTGAGTCCCACGACCCATACATCCCACAGCTCTGTGCATCCCATAACCCATACATCCCACAGCCTCCTACATCCCATAGCCCATACATCCCACAGCTCTGTGCATCCCATAGCCCATACATCCCACAGCTCTGTGCATCCCATAGCCCATACATCCCACAGTCCATGCATCCCACAACCCTGTATATCCCATAATCCATACATCCTGCAGCCCTGTATACCCCCCAGCCCATACATCCCCCAGCCCTGTACAACCTGCTCCTCTGTACACCGCACAGCCCTGTGCATCCCGCAACCCATAACCCACAACTCTGTAGATCCCCTTGCCTGTACATCCCACAACCCCACATATCCCATGGCCCTATAGATCCTGCAGCCCCACACACTGACCAACACCATGTGATCTGCAGCCCTACACATCCAGCACTCCTACATCCCTTGCACCTCTGTTTACTCAGCAAATTATGACCAGCAGCCATCAGCAGTCTGCAACCCTACAGAACTGTGTTACCTGCAACCCTACACAACCAGCAACCCTATAAACTCAAGCAACTCATATCCAGCAAGTACCATACCCAGCAGACCCACAGACCTGGCAAGCCATTAGGCCCAGCAGCCCCACAGATCCAGCAAGCTGTACATACAGGAACCCCCTACACCCTACACAAACAGCAGCACCCCATGCGGACCAGGCATCCCCCCAGCTGCAGTGCCACAGCCACCACAAGGCCTTTTCCTCCTTTTTTCCCCTCTCCCTCCCTATTTTTTATGTTACTGTGCCACATCTCCCCCTGGCCCTATATTAAACATAGAGCAAAGGCACCCTGGAGAAGCAGGCAGCATTCTGCTGTGCTCCTGCTTGTCCCAAACCACACATTTGGGAAACAAGCACCTCAACGCCAGGCAAAGGATTGGTCCTCATCCCCAGCGCCGGGAAACCACCCACGAGGCCCATCCGGCCCCATGAATTGGGGGCTGAAGCAGCAATCCCTTATCCGGGTGCTTGGGGTATTTGTAACCCCCCCCCCTACACACACAAATCTCAACTGATTTTGCAGGCATTGGGCTTGGAGCAGCTGAGCGCTTCATCCCACCACAAATCATTCCACTGGAAGGGATTTGGGATATGGAAGTGCCCAGATGTGGCGATGCATGGCATGGGGTTTGGGATGGGGGGGGGAGGTGTAGGGGGGAGAGGAATTGATGCAGTGCTGGCATAGCCAGGGCACGGCAGGGTGCTCGGGAGGTCAGCAGTGCTGCCAGCGCCAGCGGCTGGGGCCGGCCAAGAGGCAGGCGGCTGTTTGGCTGCCGGCCCCGTGCCGCGCTCGTGGTTTTCTTCCCCTGGCAGCAGCCCTGGGATCCTCCAGGCTCTGGGGCACCGTGGGGCCCCCGCGGGATGGGGAAGCCCAATGTGGGTGAGCATCCCTGAGCACAGCCCAAAGAAGGGCACGCGGCCGGCAGCACACCCTGGGGATGGATGTGCTGCTCAGCCACAGCGGCAGCGGGCACGGAAAGCCGCTCAATGCCACCAAGGTGCCGGCAGTGGGGGATGCTGGAGAGGAGCCCGGTGGCACGGATGCCCCGAGCGGATGCGACAGCCCTGGGAAAAGCAAACTGGAGAGCTATGGAGCCCCTCCCGGCGCTCCCAGCCGCCCGCTTGTTTTCCAAGCTGTTTCCGTGGCCCCGGCTGACCCCAGCACTGGGTTTGAGCTGCTCGCTCCTGTCCTCATTTAGCCCGGCGGAAAGGCAGAGCTATGGCAGGGCTGTGTCACAGGGAACCCATCCCTGCTTCCGTGGGCCTCTCAGGGATCCCCAGAGCCATAATCCTGATCTGGATGCCATTGGGACAAGCATTTCATCCTCTTTTCCATCTCATAGGGAACAAGCTGGTTTAATGACACATATTCACACCGCTCCAGCACCAGGAGCCTGCAATAGGGACGGGGAATTTTTCTCCACCAGGAAACATTTCCAACCCCATCCTCTCTGGTGGGGATCCAGGAAAAGCATTTCCCAGCCCAGCCAAGCTGCAAGCAATGGGAAAGCTGATCAAAGCAAGGGGGAAAAGATGGGAAACCAAAGGTGTTTGGGAGCAGGATTGCCCAGCAGCAACCCTTAATGCATGGAGCAAAGGGGAGCTGAGTGCCTGGATGCAGCTCCTCCAAAATCGTCCTGACCGAGAGCAGCTGCACACCGGCATCTGTTGTTAATCCACCCTGGATGCCTTTCAAAGCCGGGCTGGAACATTCATCCCCGCGCACGCAAGCAGCCCCTGAGGTCCCACTCCAGCTGGGCAAAAGGAGGAACCTGCAGGGCACAGCACTATGGGATGCTCAGCACCAGCACAGCCAGATCAGCTCCTCAGGAGCTGCACAGGGCTGGCGTTCCCATCACAGCACTGAGCCGGGAACCAGCATTTGGCAAGAGAAAGGGAGAATGGCTTGCCAGGCTGCGTCAGGCTGCTCCGACCGGCAGCGAGGGAGGGGAGAAGAGCTCTTTAAAGGGAAAAGAAAAAAAAAAAAAAAAGGGAAAAAAAAAAAACAAAAACGTGGCGCTATTTTTGTTTCTTGGAGAGGCTTCAGTCCAAAACAGCTGACTCCTCTCGTGCAGGCGCTCAGCTACCAGATTGGCGCTGCGGCCGGCTGGGCAATGCCAAAAGAACGGCTGGAGGCAAGCGGTGCTCCAGCAGAAATGGAAGGGATGGAAAGGATAAAAAGGAGAGGAAGGGATAAAAAGGAGGCTAAGGGGAAAGGAGAAGAGAGGAAGGGGAAAGGAAAGGAAAGAACATAAGGTAAAGGAAAGAAGGGACGTGGACTCACCTGGGAAGGAAGAGGAAAGTGCGTGGGCTGTGGCAGAAACGCCTGAGGCTGTGCTGAGCCTCTCCCTGTGCCGGCAGCACTTTGCCACCCACCTGAGCTACCCATGTGGGGCCGGGCTGCATTCTGCAGCCCCTCATGCCCTGACAGCACTGCCTGCAGGGAGACAGGGCACAGTGCCCTCCTGCACATCTCCCATCAACCCCAGTGGGAATTTCCCCCTCGCCCAGTTCCTCTGCCTCGCAAGCAGGGTGCAGAAATCCGGCCAGCCTTCGGGAATTGGTGGCCATGGCGCAAAGCCGCCCAACTCCCGTCCCAGGGCTGTGTGCACTGCTGGGATCAAGGGTCCCGTGTTGCACCGTGGGTGCACGGCTCTCCAAAGCTCACCTGATGGCCCGCTGTACCTGGGGGATGCGCAGCCCTGGCCCCGCTCCTTGCTTCGTGAAACCCTTCAGCAGCCCAAGCTTTCAGCAGAGGAGGAGGAGGGACGTGCGTGCAGCAAGCACGAACACGTCGGCAGCACGATGGCTGGCGGGCAGGAGCAGGGAGATGAGTGGGAGCCCGGCCCTGCCCAGTCTGGGCGCGGGGACAGCACCGGCTCCCCCAGCCGGTTTCACCACCACGACCCGTCCCGGCAGGGAAAAGCACCCGGGGAGAAAGCGAGATGCAGGGCGGGCTTGGCATGGCCCAACACAGCGCGCCCGCGATGCCCTGCCTGCTGTATGCTGCTCCCCCGGTCCCTCTGACTCACCCCAAAACACCACCACTGCTACCCCACGTGCCCCACCAGAGCCAGGGGGGTCCTGAAATGTCAGAGCGGACGTGACGGGAACTAAGTCACATCCAGGAAGAGCCTCTTGGGGGACACATCCTGCTCTGCAAGCCGGCAGGAGACATGGGGACAGCCGCTTCACCTTTCACTGGCTTCAGGCTGAGATCCTCTTTCTTGCAAGTACAGAAGCGGACGGTGCATTTTCCTGTTTGGCTCCAATCTCTATGCGCACGCACAGCTGAAAGCTCCGTGTGCAAGCTAGCTGCCCCCCCCAAGGGGAACACTGCCACAGCCACATCCCCCCGCCGAGTGCCCTCCCCACGTTTCCCTGTACTCACCCCAGCTCGGCGGCCGGCAGCTGGCACTGGCGCACAGACAGGTCCCCACGGAGGGGAAGGTATGAAGACCCCCACCATGAGGTTAGCAAGGCAGCAAGGCTGGGGTTGAGTAGGGCAAGCTCCTTCTCTATCCTATGTACGGGCTCAGACACATGCTCAGTCAGAGCTGCTGCATCTCTCCTACACACAGTGCTGAAGAACCACCTGAAAAGCGAGCAGGAGGCTTTCTACACAGGGACGTGTTTGCATCACATCCTTTCAATGCAGTCCTGATCAGCACCGGCACAATGGCTTCTGCAGCACACCGCACAAAATTTCCCTTTTTTCTCCCCCAGAAAATGACAGCCCCCTCCCACCTCGGCTGCCTCCTGGGGTCCGCAGTGCCGCTGAGTCAGCGCTGGCGCTGCTGAGTCACCGCAGCCACATCAGCCACGA